GAGAAATGTAATTGTGTTGTGTACCTAAAATGTACCAAGAAAAGAATTTAACAAAAAAAAAAAAGAATAAGTTAATTTGTAAGAAAGAAGCGGCTTTTAAACCATCCCCTGGGTCTCCACCTATAGAGACTGAGGCTGGTACCCGACTGTCAGCACCTTTTCTCATCTCCCTGCCTCCCCTCCATCCTCACCCCAGCTGCACTGACACCGAACAGCCTGTGCCACAGGATGCCAGGCTGTGCCCACATGGAGGGTCTGCAAGCAGCACACCCCCACCCGAAGGCTCTCTTCCGGCTGGATTCTACAACTCAGCCACAGACACCACTGCCTAAAGCTGCACAGCTGTTCTCTTCTCTTCTCATCCTGTGCCTCCTCAACTATGGCACCCAGAATGCTGCAGTGTGGCCTTTGGCATGTCCCAGGCCCTCGTGGCAGAGAGGAGGCCCTGGGTCCTGGGCGTCACAGGGACTCCAAGACACATCAGCTCCTCTGCAGTCACTCTTCTAAAGAATCATTAGAAGTAGCAAAGCACCATCCAGAAGAATAGGGATCACTCTTTCAAACTCTCATATGGGCATGACACTTCACAGCTTAAAGTCTCTCAGATACTACCTGGTTTAACCCCACCATAGCCCACATGTAAGAGGTGACAGTCTCCATGTCAAATAGAAGTATGATGGGGTTCGGACAGGTCAAGAACATTGTCCAAGACCACACAGCCCAGAGGTAGCAGGATTTAACTATAATCCAGCCAGGGCTCTGGAACTTGTGTGGTCCCTGCCATGGGCACTCTGGGGGAAGCTGGTGGACTGGCATAGCAGAACCTCCAGACTTTTACCATCACATGTGCACACACATGCCCACACACACTCCAGAAGGCCTCAGCCCTCTGGTTTACCTCGAAGTCACAGAGAATGTGCTGGAAGACACTCATGTTGGTGACAGCAGATGGCCTGAAGCCCAGCTCTGCAGTGCCAGCCACCGAGAGGATGAGCTGGAGGATGTGGTGGTTGAGAAGAAAGGTCTTCTTCCGCAGGAGGAACGCCAGGATCTGGGATGGTGACATGGAGCAGCCTGTGAATGTCCAGGGGGACTCGTCCTTCCTCAGCAGCCTGCTCCTTGGGCAGACCCACTAGCAAAACCACGCTCATTCTGCTGCCATCCCTGTCTGCATGTTCTCAGAAGAAAAGCCTATGCCGACTCTGGGGCTCCTGCCCCGCTGGTGTCCCCTTTTCTGAGCTCGTGTGACTTGGCCTCTCTCTGAATCTCTTCCCTGGTGACAAGTGCTGCTGGTCCCCTCCTAGGTTTCCCATTTTTTGTTCCCGGATCCTTTATGCATAAGCATCTCATAGAAGCTGAAGCAACACCAGGGAGCCTCCATGCCCCAGGAGCCCAGTCACACCAGCCTTGCTTCCTCTGTGCCCCTGAGATGTGTCATTCCATTGTCCCAGAAGCTAGCAGTGCCTGCATCCTACCACCCAGTGGAGAGATACTAGGGTCCCAGCAAGCCCTCGGGAGCCAGCCCTTCCCAGAGCCTAGGAAGATGCATCCCACCAAGCACTTTCCCAGGGACCTGGGTGAAACAGTACCCAGGCTGCCAGCTGTCCCTAGCATCTGGGTCTTCCCCTGTCTGGGCTCCTGCTCATCCCCTGCACAGCTTGGTTCCCCATCTCTGGTTCTAACACTGTCCTCTCTGTCCCCCTTTCCCAGAAACACTGCCCTCCTCTTCCAACACACCCAGAAAGACAATGCAATACCATTTCAGACTGTCCTGGTCACAGTGTTGCCAAGTGTGTGATCTAACCACAGTCTCTTCCCCTGGCAAGGACTAGTATAGTGGCCAAAGTCTGTGCCTCTGGTCCTGTTCCTGTGTCTCTTCAAGGGCCATCTTCCTGCCATGCAGGAGTCACTTGAGGGCTGTGTCCATTTCTCCTCTGACCTGGTCAGCTGTAAACAGCAGTGACCACAATGCACACATGCACAATTTTCTTGCACGGGCATCCTTCTAGGACCTCAACCTATGTTTTCACATGTAATCAGCATAACCCTATCCAACAGGTGTGTTACTCCTGGTTTACACATGGAAAAACTGAGGCACAGAGAGACAAAGGACACATGTAGCTAGCAGTTCTGAGCAGTGTGCAGAGCCTCTCCTGTATAGGGAATCTAATGTTCATGGCAGCCCAATGATGCACTAGCTATGGCAGTCCATATCCCTACAGATGGGGACATTGAGGCAGAGAGGGTATATAACTCTTTTATGGTCACATAACAAGATGAGGATGAGTCAGGATTCCCAGCCAGGCAGACTAGCCCTGAGGCTGTGGTACAGACAGCAATGGAGGATGCACAGAGGGTCCTACAATCAACAGGGAAAGTGCCAGAAGCTGAATTCAGGTGCATGCTCAAAGCATCACAGGCTAGTTGTAACCTGGTCCTCCCCTGCTGTGACCTTGCTGGTCCCAGCAACTCCTGCCAGCCAGAAATCACCCTGGAGGAAATGTCCATGTGGCAAGGAAGCCTGTCCCTGTCCCCGGGCTGGGGTGGGTTACCTGGTACCCGCTGATGTGCTGCATCAGGTGGTCACACATGATGTTGCTGGTCAGAACTGAGTGCAGGACCTTCACAGCTGCATACATGGTATGGTCATCTGTTGCTAAGGAGATGAGGCCCAGGAGGATGGCGGGACCACCAATGAAGTCCAAGCTGCTGGCAGCAGGGCTGGAGTGAAAGACCCTCACCCCTGCATGGGACAAAGAAGGCACTGGATTGGTGAGTTGCAGCCACCCTGCCATGCAAAATCCCTGAAGCAGGAGGGTGGAGGGGCCACTAGGGCCTCCATCTGGAAGGCCAGAAGGAGCAGGAAGGAGGGGCTGGGAAAGACTCAGGAGGCAAGGGTCCTGAGGGAGACCTGTCTGTGTCATCAGAAGACTGAAATCCAGAGGCTGCATGGGGCACCCACTGTCCTGGGTCCTCAGTGCTGAGGAGCCAGATGGCTCCTCAGCTCAGTTTCCTGGTAGCTCTGAAAACCTTGGGCTTCTCCTGCCCTCTGTCCTCTGCAGGGCTAGACCCTGGCCCCGTTGCCTAGTGAGCAGCAGGTGCTGCCTGTGTCTCTGAAGACAACCACCACGCCTCCTAGAGAGGCTCCACTGGGCACAGACACCAGCCTGCTTGTAGCTGAGTTATCCCCCAGTTCTCAGATGGGGCAGGGGCCACTGATCTCTGTGCCCTCTGGTTCCCACTCTGGCCCTCCTGGTCTGGACCCCAGTACACCCCATCTGGCCTGTGCTCCACAATTCCAGGGAGCACCAGCCCTTCTTCCTGAAGAGCAGTGAAGGTTCCCTGGCAACCTACCTAGCTGGCCCACAGCAACAGCTCCAAGGGTCCTGAGCGAACCCAAGAGGTGTCCAGCACAATTTCTCAGCAGGAACACGGGTGTGGTATGGTCACGGGAGGAAATGTTCATCTAGAGAAATTGGCAACAATTAGTCTTGGGAGTCTCCTAGAAAAGAGGGGGTATTGGTCATAAGCTCCTAGACATCAGGGTCCCTGGGGCCTAGCCAGGGCTGGTGCTTCCATAGGCAGTGATTAGCAGGTGAATCATACTTAAACCAATGGTGGGGGCTGGAAGCCTGTCCTACTCCCAAGCTGTGTCTTAACTGAGTGGCTTTGGAAAACAGCCCTTGGTGAGGGCAGGAAGAACCCAAGGTCATCTCAGGGGACCCAGCATTGCCAAGGTAGCCACCACCTTCTCAGCCTGGGTTGTCCCCATTCTGCAATGTCTGAGCCCTCCTGATTTCTGAAGGGCATGAGAGAGGAATCGGGGCCACCTCCATCAGGAAGTGCCCTGTGTGGTGAGCACCACTGTGGTGTGGCAGCACCTACTCCCCATCCCTCTTGCTGCAGGGTGCTTTCTGTCCTTGAGGGTGACAAGAATGTAAACAGATCAGCCAACATGCATCAGTACTAAAAGCAAAAGAAGATCTTTAGGCAGGAAGTAGAAGTTGTAAACCCAGGGCATCCTCATTTATACACGTTTGCCTGTTTTTCTGCAAGTTTATATGGTTTTTTAAAATGTCACAGCAATTCAAAACTGATTTTTGCAGTGCTGATGGGTCAGGAGAATTCAAAGGGAAGACCAGCACTGTGTCTGTACATTGCAACAGCAGTGAAAATATTCCATTTGTTCTTCCTCTACCAGGAAGAGCTCCCACTTTCCTCTCTGAGTGATTATAAATAAAAGGGTCAATCATGAGGGATGTGATGAGTAGAAAAGCACAGCGTATTTTATTAAATGAACTAGAGTTTGTGGATGTGTGTATCTGTCCAGCCACACTAGGACAAACATGAATTAGTGTTTACTTAAGCACAGAAGCAGAAGCAAGCCATGAAATCAAGATTTCAACAGGGAAAGGCAGTGGAATTAGAAGGGGTACCTCCTTGGCAATTAGGCGGCTGTCCACCTCGTTGTAGGTGTTTCTGAGGTCTGCCACATTGGTGATGGAGGAGCTGGCCACGTGGAGTCCAAAGGAAACCTTTTCCTCTGCAACAAGGGGTTTGACTTCACCATCAAGGTCTTCTCCTATAGCGACACATCTTCAATCAGGTATAGTCTCTCTTTACAGAGAAGGAAATTAACTCTCAGACAATTAAATATCTGTAGCCACACAACAAAGTAATCATTGAGAAGAGGTTTGTATCCTGCTACACTGTATGGTTTTTCAAAGTTGTGTGTTGAGATGTCTTATGCTTAAGCTTGTGCTTCTCTGACACTTACAAAAACTAGGCACATCTCCAAGATTGAGCCTTCTATAAAATAGAGAGATTCCAGGTATTAAATTACCAGAGTTTAAAACATCTATCAAACCTCTAACTTGCTCTCCAAAGCCAAAGTGCTAAGGAATAAGAAATCTGACTTATAAAGAAGGAAATGGGAAATTTTTCATGAACTGCATGGGCTGGTGTGAATATTCAACTTGGAATCAGTACCCTGATACTCAAGTCACCAGGACTAAATGTCATGCTGGAGACGTGTGGTGTGTGAAAACAGAGCCCATGAAACTGGCTGCAGCCCTGACCTGGTCCCATTGCTTTGGTCAGTGCCATTTGCCACAGGAAATGAAGTTCAAGCAAAACTCAGGCCTGGAGATAGAAACAGTCAGCAGCACTCAGTAGCCCTTCCCCACCCACAAGGCCTCCCTGCCCCAGTGCATTTATCACTCTTCCCAGATGGGAGCTGACCCCCAACTTGATGAGCAATGTCCTCTGTTTGAACAGCCAACAATCAATAAGGAGAATGTGGATGTTTTGTCTGCCTGTTTAATAATTGAAGACAACAGCATACTTTAGTTAAAAAGCTTCTTCATTAAAAGGAATGTAACTTATTTATCTCATTCTCGTTTCTCTTTCTTTGCTGATGGTATTACCCACCCATCCTCCTCCATTAGGAGCTTTAGAGACTAAATCTACAGGATATTGTCATTTCCTTTTCTGTGACATTTTCTGTTGGGTTGTAAATATATAATGATCCAATTACAGAGGTCTTTCCTAATGACTGACCTGTGCTGAGTTTATTCTTTACAAATGTGCTATAAATAACTAGATGTCCATTTAAAAATTGATTCCAGAAAAAACATTATAAATCAGAACACTCCATACCTGGAGTATGCACAGCTTGGAAGTTACCACAGTATCTTGGGCCAAGTTTGATAATAACTTCCAGAGTATCCATTGATATGGCTTCTTCAAAGAGGTAGGTAGGACCAAGACGCCAGATTAATGACGACTTTTGTCTCCAAATTCGAGGGGTTGCAATATATCCATAAACATCCACAAATGAGGACGGATCCATTGAAAGGAAGGGTCCAGGCAAGGCCTGGATATACAGCATCTGTGAAAACAAACAGGACGGAGGAAGTACGTGGTGTGTAACTTCAGACTTAATCAAATAAGCACATAGTGATGCAACATAATGAGCCATGTTTGTTTATTAAAAAATGTTATTTTATCTAAAAAATTAAAAAGAACTCAAATCTAAGAAGCATGCAGAAAAACAAATTATGAAATGTAGGTGTAAGTAAAAAGCTGGAGCTACCTTTGGAAACAAATTTGATAAAACACAGAAGGAGACACAATGGTCCATCTCTCTTGTCCCAGTCATTCTATTAAAAACTTAAATGTCTATTTTTGGCACATTAATGAAGCTTCATAGAATAACAATAATCATAGTCATATAGTTTAGAGAAGAAGAAATAAAACTGTCTATTTGCAAATGACATGCCTACATAGAAAATTCCAAGGAACTTTTTTAAACCCCTGAAACATTGATGGTGAACCTTTTAGAGTTTTCATTGATACAAACAGCCCACTGCAGCACATGTGCCATAGGTTCATCATTACCATCCTAGAACTAAGTGAGCTCATCAAAGCTACAAGATATCAAAAAAAAACACACACCAAAAATTGCATATTTATAGACTAACAAGTGTAATTTAAAACTTAAAACAATATCATTTACAATTGTTCAAATAATAATCACATACTTAATAAGACATGAACAGGCTCTCTATACTAAAAATCCCAAAATGATAATGAAAAAATTCAAAGAGAACCCATGTAAGTGGAGATACATACCATGTTGATGGATAGAAAGATTCACTACAATAAAGATACTATTTTCCTCCAATTGATCTATATGTATAATACAATTCCTATCAAAATCTCAGTAAGACTATTTTGTACTCATAAACAAGCTAATTCTAAAATTGGTATAGAAAACACAGGCTCTAGAATAGCTTAAACAATTTAGAAAAAAGAGTAAGTGCAAGAAAGCACCCTATCAAGTAACAATTCATATTGTCTAACTATAATAATCAAGACAATGTGGCACTGATAGAGTGATAGTCATAGATCAAGGCAGTACAACACAGAACCCAGAAATAAACCCACCCTAACATGCAGAACTAATTTTGTGTGTGTATATCCTTTTACTGGTACATTTTAGGTGCACAATATAATGACATTCATCATTGGAGATACGCACCTTTACATACTCTCTTGGTTGCACAACTAATTTTTGACAAAGGTGCAAAAAGTAATATAATGGCAGATGGACAGCCTTTCAACAAGTAATGCTAAAGAAAGGAAAGTGACTATCCAGATAGGCAAAGAATAGATTTCTGCCTAAACCTGGAGGCACATTAGAATAACCTCTGAAAATTTGAAGACTCTACTGAATTGTTCAGTAACCCAACACACAGAGGGTCCAGTGTAACTGATCTGGGGTGCATTCTTGTGCAAGAGCTTTACAAAGCCTGTATGGGTGATTCTAGAATGCAGCCGAGGTGAGACTCTCTCTCTGAAAGCTGGGTGGAAAACCAGCTGTCCCTGCCCACCCTGGACTCTGCCCCCCCCACCAGGTTCCTTGGGGACCTCTGACAGCATCTGCTGGATGGCACATGCCTGCCAGCTCATTGGTCTGCTTTATACTTGGGCATCTCTACATGAGGGTGAGGAAAAGCTTCTTTCCTGTGCATGCTCACATTCTGTGACTTTCTTCATCAATCTTGCTCAAAGTAAGGGGAGATGTGTTGGTGTCTTGCTCCCAAGAGTTGTGTGCAGAACAGCCCTGTTGGCCTCCCCAGGAAGCATCTTAGAAAAGTTAGACCTCAGGCTCTGCCCAGACCTCCCTGGGGAATTTGAACCTTAAACTGTCTTCTTCTGACTATTCTTACAGATCTGGCCCCAGGCTCTCCCTTCTGCCCTGGTTCTGTGACCTTCAGTCCACTTTACTAGGATATCCTTTCCATACCTGTGCTCAACCAACATCTTGGACAGCAAATGTATTTCCTTAGACATCAAACCCGTTCCCAAAAGAAAACACAGAGCTGAGTCAAGGCCCTATCTGGGTGACAGAGCTGAGAGCAAAGTGCAGCTGGGGTGGGGACACCATCTCACTTTGGCTGAGCCGATAGCCTGTCCATCCAGATATGTAGAGATGGTACAGTTCCTTTTCATTTCCTTGGTGACAACCACAGCCAGGTGATGCCACTGACCGAAGGCCAGCAGCTGGCCACACCTGACCTGAAGCTGGCGTCCAGGGGAGGGGTCAATGGCATCCTCGGGTTCCATGACGTCTGAAAGAGAACACAGATGCTGGAATATCATGCAGCATCACACACTGGGCCTGGCCCTTGGAGGTGTGGCCTGGTCCTCTTCTCATAAAATGTGACAACAGCAGCAGTAACAGCTATGGCTCCTCAAGAGCCAGTCCCTGGTTATTTTATTGTCACAAGAACACTCTGAGGTAGGTGCTTTGCTTCTTCCATTTCATCCTCCTGAAGCTTAGAGAGCTTAGGTAACTCACCCAAGGTCAACCTGCCAGGATTCAACCCTAAGTGCCAGACTCTAGTAAGACACCATCCCATAGTAGATGGCTTTCATGGTGACACACACATGCAGACAAAGGAGGGAACAGGTAGTCTTGCTGTGGCCAAAGGTGTCACCCATTAGGACCTTCACCATGCTACCCAGGAAAATGACTCATAGGACACTGAGGATCAGGTAGCCTAGACATGCTGGGGCCACCTCAGGTAGGTCAACTTGGAGAATAAGGCCAAGGCCCCACAGGCAGGGCCAGGGGCAGCCAGGGAAGGCAAACCCTGAGTACTCCTCATGACCACTCTTCTGGGAAGCCATGAGCAAGATCCCTGAAGCCAGGCGCAACCTCAGAGCCTGGACCTTGGGAACCCAACCCTTATCTGCTCAGCTCTTCAAGCAGGTATGGAACCAAGGGAATGAGTCTCAAAGATATAGAGAGACCAGAGGTCACCAGACTCTACACGTGTCCAAGGCCAGAGCCTTCAACATGGCCCTGTGGCTTCCCAGTGTGGACAAAGCCACTTTGGATCCCAAAGCTCACCCAGGGGCTGGAATTCCTTCTCTTCTGTGGATACCACCAAGGAGAGGTCATCTGGGCAGAGGCTGGCAGAGAAGCAAACAAAGGGCTGCTCGGTCCTGGCCAGGTGGCGTACTAGGGTGAGGAAGCGGATCGGGTGGCCCTCGGTGGCGATGGCCTGCCGGCTGAGCAGGAACCAGCAAGAGAAGGTGAGGCCCCCAGGAGGAGGGAAGGGCCTGGCTCCACCTGTCACAACACAAGCACAGCCTTAGGCTCTGCCCTTTGGGGGAGCAAGTGTGTGCTCACCAGGATTGGTGCCCTGTGTCACCTCCAGGAGCCAGTGCTGGGCCTAGCCGGCCTCACACCCACTGAATCCCAACCCACAAAGTGCTGTCCTGTCACCACAGGACAAAGAGGAAGCTCCCAGAAGTCAGCAGCATTCCTGCCCAATGTGTTTCTGTTGGACTGCACTGAAGTCTCCAAGCCTTTCCCAGCCTGCTCCCCTACCCTCCACAATCCCAACTGCCTTCTTATGGAGCAGAGGGGCCACCACTGTCCCCAAGGCCTGTCACCACCTGGACCCCTGCTCAGTTGATCTGAACCCAGGCTTCATGTTCCATGGGGCAGAGGACACTTGACAGGTTCATGCCCTGCTCCAGGGAAGCCCTGTGCCCTCCACCCTATAAGAGGGCCGGTGACACTCATGGATGGCAGCACACTCAGTGTCAACCCCATCTGGAAAGAGGTCTGCCCTGGCTGCTGGTCCTTGAAGGCACTGGCTCTCAGCACCCAGCACCCACCCAATATGGGAAGCAGAGACCCTCAAGGCAGGCGATGTGCCCTTCTCCGTCTACTCCAGGCACTGTACAATGAATCAAACCCAGGATCAGCAGCCCAGTCACCATAAGTCTCTCAGTGTTTACTGAACATGGTCTTGGACTGAGCCCTTGGGACACAGGGTGACCAGGACACTTGTCCTACAGAGGGTAAGCAAACTCAGCAGCTAGAGGACCACCATCTGTGGATACTCAGGACCAAGGGGAAGACTTGCACTTTTTGGAAATGCCAAGTGCAAATTGACCACTGAGGCCACCTGAAGGGAGACCCACCTGTCCCGATCCCTCCGGAGATAGAGTACTCAGTACTGGTCCCCATAACGGTAGACAGGGTTGGAATAAACAGGCACCTGGGAACAGGAGAGCATCTCAGGCCACTGACCTACAAGCAGCTCCCCACATCAGTATGGCTCATCTGGGGCACAGGACACAGGGGTCATACCCCAAGGACAGGAAGCAGCTGGTGGAGTTAGGAGATCCCGAAGAAGGGGACCCACACTGGAGGTTGGAGTATATTGCAGAAGGCAGCCACAGCAGGGAGGGGGCCTCTGGTCCTCCCAGCTGGGGATGCTGCCCTGAGAGTCACTGAGGGGCAGGTACCAGGACTGAGAGTGGTGGGCTCTGCCAGGAGCTAGCTTTGTAATCCATGTTTTATGCACCAGAGGCGCTGGGAAGCTGATAAATTGCTTTCAGAGGGCATGGACACCATTCATACCCGTAACCCTCCACAGACATGTCAAATTCCACAAAGGATGGAGCCAGGGCTGCCCTCTGTGGCTGCAGATTGCGCGGGGAGGTCATGGAGATGAGGCTCAGTGCTGTCTGAAGGGCTGGGGTGGAATCCCAGGACATCCTCGAAGATGTGCTATCCTGAGCCACTCCAGGGATGGCATCGGCAGGTCCCTCAGATGGACGCATATCTGTGGCTGGTGGCCCTACAGCAGCAAGTAAGAAAAATGACGTCCCCTGCCCTGTGTTTCCACTTCACCTCACCCAGGTGGAGAATGTGGCAAAATCGTAAGGCACTGACCACCTGGGCTCTGCTGCCAAGGGGAACAGGAGAGAGTGGAAGTGACCTGGCCCTCCTAGAAACTTCTCCCTTTCATTCCATCATGTGCCCCTCTCCAATCCGGCCTTTCTGCAGCTGTGGGGCCCACTCCTCCCTTTGTCCCAGCTCCCCGAGCCCAGCCCTGTTCTCCACAACACCCTGTCTCCGAGCCTGCTTCCCCATCTGTGCTTCTTTTTCTGTATTAAATTCTTTTATTGGTACATTGTAGGTATACAACACAATTACATTTCTCATTGGGAATTGTACCTTTACATGATGCATCTTGGTTCTTATTTTTTCCCCATTCCTAGCCCTCCCTTCACACCCTCCACCCTTCCCTATCCACAAAGACCTTATTTCCATTTTTTCCATTTCCCATCATTTTTCCTTTCCCCTCTTTCCTTTCCCCTGCCCATCCCACTACCCCTACCCCTTTGGATCTTTTCTTCCTATTTTGCATTATCGATTATTCATTCTAATCATTGGTACATTTTAGGTATACAATATAATGACATTCGTCATTGGAAATTTGCACCTTTACATAGTCTCTCTTGGTTCTTATTTTTCACCCTTGCCCAGCCCTCCCTTCAACCCCTCCAGTCCTCCCTATTTACAAAGATTTTGTCCATGCTTCTCAACTTCAGTGTCCTGGGTGATCTTACACCTGAGGTATCCAAGGCCGTTTCTCTCGGTGCCTTTCTGAATAGCATCGTCCCGGGAGCAGGCCTGACTCTGGTCTTCACCTGGGCTCCTCTCTGGCCCCCAGTTCACCCCAGGTTGTGAAGGGTGCAGGAAGCCTGAGGTGTGGCCATTGCCTGGGCCACACCAGGTGTCTCAGAGTCATGAAGGAAACTCCATCACTGTCTCATGATCCAGGCCCTAGAGGGCAGGCAGGTGCCCCCAACACCCAACTTACATGGAATGTGGGGTATCCTTTTCCTGCTTTTTCCCTGGCCTTTCTCCAGGGACCCTGACCGCTGAGCAGCAGGTAAAATCATTCTTAAATCTATCCCTTTCTCCCCTGTTGGGGGTAATCCCTGCCCCACACCCCTTAGCCTGCTACCCCACTTCCCTCACCTACCTGAGCACCCAGGGGTGCCTCCACTGCCCTCGGGAGATGCTTTGAGGTGTTTCACTGCAGCTGACAGGGGCAGGGGAATTCCTAACCCTAGAAACTGTCTGGATAGCACAACACAAGAGAGAACCAAGTGAGGACATTGTACAGGCAAAAGTTTTCCCCCACTTCATCTGAACCACTTCCCTAGACACATAGTCTCAATTCCTCTGCCCTTCTGCCTTGAAATACCCTTCCCAAAATCCATACAGAGACACAGTGTGCCTGCCTTGCCATGTAGCTCAGAGAGCTGGCAGGGGTAGGGGCCTCAAGGTGAACCTTGGGAGGTATGCTGTTTATAGGTCTCCAGGAATTTGCCTGCCAGCATGGCAGCCTTCCTGGCATGCCCCCTGGCTGGAGGGGCTGGCCTCTGGCCCTCTGAACTTCCTCCCATGGGCGGGGCAGCATGACCTTTTGCATTGCCCTCCCTGTGCCACTCCAAGGCCGCATAGGGTCCTTGGAGCCTCTCCACCTTCCTCCTGTACTATGTATGCCTTCCACATGTGCTCCTGCTGTGGGCCGCCTTCCCTCCTGCTAGTGCTTCCCAGGAACTTGCCTAGGCCTCAGGGTTCAACCCAGCCTCACTTCCTTGCGGCCCCCTCCCTGGACCACTATTGCCGGGTGTAGGTTCTGTCTGCCTAGTGGGGACCGGCACACTGCTCAGCACAGACCAAAGGCTCCAGTGTTGAATGCTGGAGGGGCACAGAGGGTTCTCAGGACACATGTCACTGCAGAGGCACTGCTTCCCGAGGAGCACACAGGACCCAGCAACATGCTCTGCAGGATTCAGTGCAAAAATGTATGTGGTACCTCAGCACGTCGGGCTCGATGGCCTGCGAAGCAAGCTTTTCAAAAATCCTGATGAGAGGCACATGCAGGGGGCTGCTGCCAGTGCGGAGGACCCCTTGGCAGGAGGTTACGAGCGTTCTGAGCATGCCTGCCTCACACATGACCTGCCGGCTCTTCTCTGACTTCACCAGGGATAGCAGGTGGCTGGCCACAGAGCACTGGATCTCCTCTGACAGCTAAGAGGTGACCAAAGCAAACATTGGTGGTAGAACAGGTAGACTGTACCCATGGCCTATGGCCCCATAACCTGTCCAACTCAGGGGCTCTTCCATGGGTCCCCTCCCCTGCATGGCAGCCTGAGAGAGGCTGGCCCAGAGATGAAATGTCCATTGCAGTCACCTGCAGGCCAGGGAAAGAGCCACGGTGGCAGCTGTACACAGCTCAGTCCTCACACGCATGCTGTTTGCCCTTCCTGGTGCTGGGATCTTTCTGATTTAAATACCAATGTAGAAAAGTCTATGTTTCCACATAACAATCCAGGCTTGTGGCCCCTCTCAAAGATGGGGCCATCCAAGCTGCTAGAGCCAGGCAGTGGCTGTCTGTCAAAGTGGTCCCACACTGCCCCTGCCACTGGGCTCCTGTGTTTGAGTTTACACCACTTGGTGTAATGAGTAGAGTCCACCTAAGTGTGTGAGTCTACCAGAAGGACCCCCACAGACACACACATGTGCACACACATATACACACATGCACACACACACACCCCACTGGCTGAAGCAGGTGCAGGGATCCCAATGTCGCAGGTTCACCCATGTGTCAGCTCCTCCACCACTGTGTCCCCTCTGTCTGCCTCTGGTCCTGACCTTATCCTGGGGACACTGAGCTCTCGCCCTGCCCTCTGCTGGATTTCAAGCTCCCTCCCTCACTTTATGTCCCTTGACACATGTAGATGAGAAAGCACAGAGTGGGCTCCGTAAGTATTTGAGCAAATACAGTACATCCTTTTTTAATGGTCTTCTTTTTAAATAAAAAGATAAAGCCAAGCTTGAAGACACCTGTAATCCCAGCATGCTGGGAGGCTGAGGCAGAAGGATCACAAGTTTAATCACCTAGCCTGGGAAACTTAGCAAGAGGGAGTGATCCCATGGTAAGACCAGAAGCCAGAGGTGAGGAGAGGCCTGACACGCTCTGTTCTAGCAGCCCTCACTCAGGAACCCATGGGAGTTCTGTAAGAACTGCATTTATTCTTCTTGTAGGCGCCCTCTCCTCCACACACTGGGACCCTGGGGGATGCACTCAAACTGTCTCTGGATCATGGGAGCCCCCTTCCCTTTAAATGTGACACCTGTACAGCCAGTGTGAGCTGCTAGGTGCACAGACCCAGCCCCTCAGGGACCAGCAGCCAGAGGGAGACCTGCCCAAGCTGGTTTGTGTCCAGCAACTCCAATGCTGTTGCTTTCTCTGTGAGGACTCCCCATAGCAAATCCACTGATCTCTTTTGACTACTCCCAGGTCTTTCCTGTGATGTTGTTACCCTGTCTCCTGCATCCTCCCCTTCCTTTCCCATCTGCTCAGGACAGAAGAGGGATGGCCACTGTCCTACCCTGAGCTTTCCCTCCTCCAGACCTGGGTTATTTCATTTAGCAACTGCACTCTTTATTCGGGGTGAGAGCTGGGGAGACGGTCTGTATGAAGCAAGATGCAAAAATAACATCGTGATGTATTATTAATAAGAACTAAAAAGAAGTGCCTATAATCTTCAGTTTTTATTACCAGCACTTTGCTTATTGCTTTGGGGCCTTTTGGGTTTTTTTGTTGTTGTTGTTGCTTTTTTTTTTTTTTTCAACAGAGCAATATTACTTATAATTTGAATGTAAAAAAAGGAAAAAAAAGAGAGGGAGAAAAGAAAGTTTTCAGAAGGGAGAAATGCTGATCTTGCCTAATGGTGCCACAAGTTTACTCCAAAACTGCTCAATGCCCCATAATGGAGGAGGGAAAATTGATTGTCCTCATTATCGCTGCAGCTCTGTCAATACCCGTATCGCCTGGTTTTGAATAAAATGTGCTGCTTTTTTTCAGTGTTGGTTCCAGTAAAGTAGGGTTTTAGTGAAAATGTGAGCAGTAGCAGGAAACCGGTCTGGTTCCCCCTACAGTGGGATTGATTTTCCTAATGCGCCCGACTTCCCATGCAGGAAGGGATTGTATTCAATCAGGACTCAGTGTCAGAGCACAGGGTCGCAGGCGAGCAGTGACAGGATGGGACCTCCAGGCAGATGGGTACAGGGCGACTGCAGGCACCTGTGGCGCTTTCTGCTCTCTCCCTCTGACAGTCCACACCTCATCCTGACCCTGTCCCACTTTCTCTCCTGGGCCACATTCATCTGGTCCCACAGTCCAATAAGGGGTGGGTTCTGGTGGGATGGTGGCCTGGGTCCTGAGGTTCCTGGGTCCTGGGTCCTGTGGTTCAGATGTGGTTTGCGCCCCAAGAAGCTTGGTCCCCAGTGTGGTGAGGTGGTACCTTAAGGGGCGTGGCTGTGGGAGAACTGTAGGTCATTGGAGGTGATGGTCTCTCACCATGTGACCTCATCCTCTGTCACCTAGCAGTCCTCTCCAGAGCTCAGCCTAGGCCAGTGCCATCCCCTTGAATCTTCAGAACTGTGAGCTGCATGAACCTCTTCTTTCCACAGAATCCAGCCTCAGGGATTCTGTTACCGTAAAGAAAGTGGGTGCTTCCAAGGAGCCCAGGGTGTTGGATACATCAGTCTATGGTGCAGCTTCTGGATTTGACCATGCTGTCATGACAGAAATCCACTAGGCCTAGCATCATCTTCCCCAGACATCCTGAAAAAACCTGAGACTTTATGAGATACCTGGGTTTAGATTCACTGTTTGCTTCATTTTGTTTGAAATGTTCTTTATTTGATGATTTTGGAAGAGAAGTGCTGGACTTTGAGTGATCTTAGCTCAGCACATTATCAAACACTGTAAAGAGGGTGCCAGGGACAAATGGGCCCACAGTGTGTAGGACTTGACAGGTGTATTGGTTTTACCTTCACTTTCTTAGAGTCAGTCGGCTCCCTACATGGGCAGGAGTTTTCCATGTTGGCCCAGGCCCACACACTGGCTGGTGCAGGCTCAGGAGCTGGTGGCATTGGGGTATGACAGAACCTAACTTTCACTAAACCAGTAGAACCCATGCCTGAAGGGTCTGCTTCCTCCAAGTGCTCAGACAGACAGTAGAGACCAGCACACAGGTTCGTGGATGGTGCCTGTCCAAGTCCTCTGCCTCTTTTTCAGATCGTGTGTATTTGATGGTCAGTTCCTCCTGGCAGCAGAAGCCTCAGAACTTACATTCACAGAATATTTCTCTCTTCTGACATGACTTCCCATCCTCCTCTTTGGTCCACCCTGTCCTCCAGCCACAGTGACATTCTTGCCCTCTGAGGCTGATGCTTGAGGTTGGGGCAGTCTGTTCTAATCCCATCCTTTTGCTGAGATGCTGCTCTTTATTCAAGCAATAATTCACACATCCTCTCTTCCCAGAAACTTTTCAGACTTTCCCAACCAGCACCATGTCCACATTTCAATTGTGGTGAATGTCACACCATACCTGGTTCTCTCTTCTTCTCTCTTCATCCCCTTTGTCTGCCTTCTCCCCTTCCTCCCCCAACCCCTCACTGTGGTGACCCTGAGACAAGGACCCTGCACTTTTATTTCCCTTGTGTTTTTCTCCCCCCAATATGACAGCTGCCTCATAAGTGCAGGCTCAGGTGGCTGTAGGATGAAGCAGGGCACCTCATCCAGAAGCCTGGACAGGGAGTCAGAAAAAGCAGTGTGCATTTAAGTGTTGAAGAATAGTGAAGGAAGAGGTAGGCCAGTGATGAGACAACAGTGTGCTCAGAGGCCAGGAGGTGACTTTAAGGGAAGCCTGATGTCACACAGGACAAAGACCCAATAGGAGATCCCTGAGGCACCATGCAAAGGGACTCACTCTGCAGCCAGGCAGGTCCTGACCTGTCCCAGCTACTGGGGAATCCAAGACTGTAGCCCAGACCCAGAGCTCCTCATCTGATGCTGGAGGGACAGCAGCCTGGTGACCCAGCATCCCCTTGCTCTTGAGTCCATTGCAGACACAGGCCCCCACTCTGGTGCAGTTGCCCTGAGAAGCTGGAGTCTCTGAGCTGAGCTCTAGCAGAGCCCAGACCACAGGGCCACCCTCTGACCACTACACCCACTCCATGCTCCAGAACCAGGCCTAGCCTGCCCCAAATTGGTATCTAGCATCCATGCCAGGCCCAGAACCTCAGCCTTCCTGCTCCAGGTGCCCAGCCTGGGCCTAACATCCCAGGAGTCACGGCATGGATATGGCTGTGCCCCAGCTCAGAGCCTCATCATCCAGCTGGCCTGCTGCTGCCTCCTCCCACAAGTGGAATTCACCATGCAGGGTCCTCACCCACCTCGCAACTCTGGCCTCTGCCATGCGTGAAGGCGCCTGAGGGCAAGGTGCAGGCCTGGCTCTCTCCTTTGAGTTATGTCCCTTTGCTCAAGCTGGTCAGACCTTCCCTCACCTTTCTGCCACCTGATAGTTAACCCCTCCCCAGATGTGAGCTGGCTGCCATCTGAACTTAGCTCAGGTCACCCACAAAATGCAGGACCAAGGGAAGGAAATACGAGAGTCTTCTGACTCACATGTAGACAGTAACACATAGTTCAGTAGCAGCTTTCTGGTATCAGCTGATAGACAGTGTGTCAGGTGGAATTACAGCTAGAATGTATTACCTTCCTTTTAATATTTTCAGCAGTGCATCCACCAGGACCCAGACTCCCAAGAACACAGGCTGTCAATGCCAGAAGGGCAGAGAGCAGCTATGGTAGAGCCAGTGCCTGTGACATTGGCACAAGCTGGGCACAGAGAGTATGCCAAGGACTTCACAATCACATCCCCACCTATCCACAGGACCATATTGTCATACCCACTTTGCAGATGAGGTCACTGAGACTTGAAAACATCGCATCAGCATCCCAAGCTCATGTAACCAACGAGTGGTAGAGCTGACCATCCCCCAACCTAGGTCTTCCTTCTCTAAAGCCATGATGCTGACACTTCATTCTGTGTTCACTATAAGAGGAAGGAATTCAGGGTCTGAGGAGGGTCACAGACTGGTGGTTGATGGAACCCTTTAACTTTCTGGGTATCCTTTGGTTGTCTTGTTGGTTGGCTCCCCCTGGTTAACAG